AGAGTGTCGCGGACACCCTGCCGTGTCCAGCCCAGGCGCGGACGCTGACCCAGCGTGAAGTCCCGGGGCGACGCCACGACACCGGGGGCGGGAGGGGGGCGTGCGCGCACCTTGTGCTGGGGGCGGGCGCTGAGCAGCAGCGGCGGGATCATGCTGACGGCCTCCTGGCGGCTGATGTTCCCCTTGGGAGAGACGACGGCGTCGGCCGCGGGCCTGCGAGCGCAAGGCGGGCACCCCCACCCCGCTGGCTGGGCGGCTCCGGGGCGGCCGCGGGCTACTTACAGACTCGGTCTCGCTGACCAGAAACTGGTGGAACTTCTCCAGCTGCGGGGACTTGCGCAGGATTTTTCGGCTCAAGTTTGTGTGCCAGGCCAGCTCTTCCGGATACCTGCGACAGGACCCGCCCGCAGGCGCGTTTACGAGGCGCTCCCGGTCCCCGTCTCGCTGGCGGGGGCGCCGCGCCCCCTGGCCCGGACCTCCCGAGCACAGCCGCGGCTGCAGGGTGCTCCGGCCAGGCGGGAAGCGGAGTCCGGCGGAAAGGCCAACCCAGGGCACGGCCACACGGGCGGACAGCAGGCGGGGCCGCCACCTCGCGACGACAGCCACAGCACCCCCACCTCTCGCCCACTGTGGCTGTCTGGCGGCCAGACGCCCGGGTGGCAACTGCTGTCCTCTCTCCTCCCCCCGCCCCCGGCAGCAGCGAAAGCAGCTTAACAGCCCTGCGGTGAGGAGCCGCCCCCGGCTCCCGAGGCAGAGCCTAGAGGACTGGGCTCGGCGTGCCGGGCGGGCGAGGCCCAGGCGGCCAGGGGCCGCTCGCCAGGCCCAGCGCAGGCGCACGTTAGCGGACACGAAGGACCAAGACGTGCAGCCTCGGGGACAGGAGAGCAGAGCCGCCCCGGTGCCACGTCCGAGAGAACGGCGGAGGCGGGACAGCAGCCCGGCCGCCTCCACCTCCCCGGAGTCACGCGGGCCCTCGCGTGTGAAGGCCGAGAGCGGGCGCTGCAGAGGGACAGCCGAGGCCACGCTGCTGTGAGCTCCAGGGGACGCTCCGGTCGCGCCCAGCGTGAGGTGGCCCAGAGGCTGCGGCGGTGACCGGACACTGCGCCGAGGGCACTAAGGGGGACGGCCCACCCGCCACAGGGGCAGACCCCACCGCTGCGGGAAGTCGCCGCCGGCTTCAGGCCGTGAGGGCAGGCGGCTCCGCACGGGCCGACCCACTCGCCTGAGCGCCTAGACGTGGCCCACGGGGCCGTGGCCCGCCACCGGCACCCTGATCGGGAAGCGCCCGCCTGCCTAAGGGCCTGGCCGCCCGGCCGGCGGAGACAGGCACCATGTGGACAAGCATCTGCGTGGCCAGGAGCCGCTCTGGCGGTCTCAGCGCTGGGGAGACGCCCGCGGCGGGGCGCTGTGCCCCCAGCGACCCGACCGAGCCCCTGGGGCACGGGGAGCAGTGCCACGCCAGAGCCCAGACCCGTGGCGGGAACGTGGGAGGCCGCCCGCGGACGCTGCAGCTGGCAGAGGCAGCGCAGGAGCGAGCGGCGGAGCCTGCGGCCCAGGATGGCCACCTCCGCGGGGCACCTAGGGCGCCCGTCAGCCCAGGGCGCGAAGGGGGAGAGCAGAGCCGCGCGGGCAGGCCCTCGCGGGCGTTCCTGCTGCAGCCTGGGCTCCGGGCAGGAGGAGCCGCTCCCCAAGCTGCACCCCAAGCGCGGCAGGGCCCCTAGCCTGAGTGATCTAGAGAACCAGCAGGCACCGCGGGGGCCGCCCCAACGGGCGGAGAACCACGGGTGCCCGGCGTGCCCGCGCCTCCGCAGCACAACGGTGCCAGGCAGCGGGAAACGGCGAGTAGCAGGAACCAGCTCACAGCACACCACCGCTCACACCCCTCACCGCGCAGAGGGACGGCCGGAGCTAGACCGGACACTTCGTCGCTCAGCCGGACACCCCCGGGGCGGGCACCATTGCGCCCGGCCCCGTGCCCGAAGCCGCATGAACACGGGAAGCGGCCGTGGAGCGTGAAAGGGCCGAGGAGACGAGAGTGCCCGCAGCGAGACGGGCTCTCCCACTGGCCGGACCCCACGGGACCCCGCCCGAGGCACGCAGGCCCGCTGCAGGGGTCAGCCTGCCCCTCCATGGCCATCCCACACGAGGCCTGAGGACAGCGGCTCCTGGTGACAGCATCAGGTGAGCAGGGCACCCCAGGAAAGGAAATGGGATGGGCACCCAACGTCCGGCTGCCTGCCCGAGAGTGAGCCTGCCACGCAGTCCACACTGTCCGGGGGCGGGGGGCTGGGGGGCCTGGCCTCGGGGTCACACGCTGAGCACCGTGGCTGGGGAAACCTCCCCACGCTGCCAGTACAGGCCCGAGTGACCGGGACGGCCCGCTGGACCCGGGTCACTTTCCAGCGCCGACCATCTGTGTCGTGGAAGCTTAATGTCAGATCCCAAAACCCTTAATCACAAAATCACGGAACGTGGGAGCCGCAAATGTGTCCACAGACCCCGAAATCCGTTCTCTGGTGGGGGCCAGCTCTGCTCTGGGCCAGGCTCTGATTCTGCCATTTAACGCGTATGCTGTGTCCACCTGTGAGCTGGACACAGAACTACAAGGTGACCACGTAGGGAAGAAGCAGTCACCCCTGGCTTCAGTTCGCGATCACAAAGGGCGGCCCACACACCACGAGCAACAGCCACGACAGCGCGGCCCAGACTACCTTTCACGGTCCCGTAAACCAGCTTTCACTCCGTGGGGTGTGGGCAGAGCAGCACCCCAGCCCCTCTCCCGGCTCAGCGCAGGGCCGGCCCCTCTGTGTCTGGCGCGCAGGCTTCCTCGGGGCGCCCGGCGGCTAACAAGGCTGGGTGCACGAGGGCCCTTCCACAGCCAGCCTGCACCGCCCTGAGAAACGGGCCGCTGGGGCCGGCCACGGGCAGGTCCGCAGAGGGGCGGGAGAGCTCGGAAGCTGGACACGCCGGAGAGAGTTGGCTGTGTCGGGGGCGCCGTTCCTCAAGTGCCTGCACACTTCCGACCTGGCCGGAGGAGGCAGGAGCACCAGCGCCCAGGAGAGAAGCGCCGGGAAAACCCACCCAAGGGCTCAAGGGCCCCGCGAATCTCAAGGCGAAATCCCAGCGCCCGCATCGCAGCAGCAGGAGGCCGGGAGCCCGAGGACGAGGCCAGCCTCCCCAGGAGCACCCTCGGGACACGCACCAGCTCAGGGGCTGCGGCACGTCCACCTTCTGCCCGTCCACCTCCAGGTCCTCCAGCTCCTTGAAGTACTTGTTCTTTAAACAGTGCAGAATCTCCTTCGCGTGGCTAATCAAAAAAAGTTTCCAATCAACCTGGGGAAAGAATCACACTCGGGGGTGGGGGCTGAGGCCTGCAGGGACGGCGGAGCAACAGCTGCGGGAGCCGCGGCCTTCCCACCCGGCCCTCCGGAGGCCGACACCCCCATCTGCTCGCCGCAAGGGTGACGAGCTGCCTGCAGCTCCCCCTTACCCTCGGGCCCTCGGATCACCTGCAGCGCTGGCGCAGGAGGCGGCACCTCCGCGGGCTCGGACAGGCCCGGTCTCCAAGGTCCCCGACCCCAACAGTCGCCCCTCTCCCTCCTCCAGCCTCCGGGGTTCAGCCCCGCCCCGACTGGCCGCCGCCCCCACCGCAGCCCCCACCCCTCGGGCCCAAGCCCCGGCGGGGCTGGGCGCGGCGCCACCTCTTGTAGCCAGTGATCCTCAGGGTGGCCGGGAGGGGCTCCCGGAGCGCCCCCATGAACTGGTCCCATTCGCCCTCGGGCACGATCTTGAGCTCCTGGTAGTAGTGCTCGAACAGCTTGTTCTCCTTGACGATCTCCGGGTACCCGCCTTCCCAGCCCTAGGAACCACGGGGGCGTGAGAGGGGCCCGCGGGGGCCCGCCGGCCTGGGGCGCCCCCGGC